GACCATCTGGTTGTCTCCCACTTAGCCTATGGGGGTGTGTCAAACATTATACATGTTCATATTGTGTAGGCTATAGTGGGTTTAGCCTTAGGGGGGTACAACATTGCTAGGGTTTCCTACTTGTATCACCCTGCTGCCTAGTTTCACACGATTCTCGTTCAGTTCTACATTCTAACATGAATGCCCAGAGGAGCTAAGGCGCCGTGGAGCAGAGCAAGGGAGGGAGTTTGGGAGGCAGGGAAACGCCAACGGTTAGTAGAGTACGGGCCCACTACTGACGAGACGCACTGCTCGCCCGACCTCACTGACCCTCACCGAATCACAGTACCGATTCACGCAATCGATCGGGCTCGGCTGAATAAGGAGGGTACACCGACAGATTGCCCAATACCGATTCACGGGAAAATAGAGGGGGTAGCGGTGAAGATTTTTATTGACGGAGGAGCAAGTTACAGCTTAGTTAACACCACAATGGCACGGAAGCTGCACCTGGCACTTAGCCGCTGTTTACCGGAGATCAACGCGCGCTTAGTTGACGGCACGCCGCTAGCTATACGAGTAAAAGTGGAGAGAGTGAAGGATCGTTGCGGGGGGGATTTCGGGTTTACATAGGAAATGCTCGCGACGACGCTGGATGGCATGGCATTTTACTGAAATGTGATTGGCTCGACGCTACAACCCGCGAATTGACTGGATGACAGGTAACTGCACTGTGCGAAGCGGCGATAACTGGGCCGCACTACCACGATGGCAGTCGCCTGAGTCTTCAATGGTCCACATCAACGCCGTCACGATGAAACGGGCTGTCGCCGCTGCTGACGTGTACGCAGTGGACATCACGGTAGTAGGAGAAGCAGAGGAGCCGAGTGATTTTCAGAAACTGCTGGCAGCCGAACTACATGAACTACTGAAATGGTACCCGGGAATTTACCGGAGGGACTGCCACCTCAGCGAGCACACGACCACTGCATAGAGTTAGAACCGGGGGCACAGCCAACCGTACAGAGACATTTTTTACTGACACAGCCCGAACTCGACGAATTGAGGAAGGATTTAGATAATCTACTGGAGAAAAAAATAATCCGACCGAGCTCATCACCGTTCGCCGCACCGATGTTCACAAAGAAAAAAGACGGAGGTTTTCGCATGTGTATCGACTACCGCGCATTGAACAGGGTAACAGTCAAATTGCGATATCCCATCCGACGAACTCATCGACCAACTGCGAACAGCTAGAGTATTTTCGAAAATCGACTTACGCGGCGGTTACCACCAGATTCGATTCGAACTAACTGACTGCGCCAAGACAGCATTTAGAACTAGATACGAGTCCTTCGATTACACAGTGGTGCCTTTTGGGTTGACCAACGCGCCAGCGACTTTTCATATGACCATAAACGAGGCGTTTAGGCCACTTTTAGATAAATGCGTCATAGTTTACCTCGACGACATCTTAGTTTACAGCCGGGACAAGCAGCAGCAATTAGCAGATCTGGAAGCAGTATTTAACATTTTAGACGAACATCGGCTACTGACCAAGGGTTCAAAGTGCGGGTTTTTTCAAAACCGACTAGAATTTATGGGACACATTTTTTCGGAGGCTAGAGTTGATATCGACCCGAAGAAGTTAGACACAGTGAAAGCGTGGCACCCCCCGACAAACATCACGGAGCTGCAGAGTTTTTTGGGGTTTTAATTGTGTGCGTCGGTTCGTCCCCGACATGGCACGGTTAACTGCCCCGCTGACGGATTTGCTGAGGAAGGGGGTCGCTTTTGCGTGGGGGGGAGAAAGAGCATGCTGCCTTCTCTGCCCTGAAAACTGTTCTCTGCTCACCGCCCGTACTACGCATTGCGGACCCACACCGCCCCTTCGAATTAGTTACAGACGCAAGCGACATCGCCATCGGAGTAGTGCTGCTACAGGATTTCGGCAACGGATTACAGCCCATCGCATACGAGTAAAAAAAACAGTGAATTACTTGATACACGACCGCGAAATGCCCGCGATTCTGCACGCGTCTAAAGTGTGGCGTTGTTACTTGACCGGCGCCGACGTGACGGTACGGACGGACCACAAATCACTACAGTACCTCCGACCCCACCTCAACCCACGACAGGTCCGTTGGCTCGACTTCCTCGAGTCAAACTTCCACTACACGGTTACCTACAAAAAGGGAGCCTCGAATATCGCCGATGCACTGACCCGCCCAACTGCCCAGATACACGCCATACTATTCGCCCAGACCAGCCCACTGCTTACAGGACTATTTACCCACGGCTACCAAACAGACCCGTTCTTTAGCGGAGGAAATTCGCAGCAGCAAAAGGGGTTTATTACGTAAAAGCCGGCACCGATCGCATCTGGGTACCAAGCTACACCTTACTTCGGGAATTACTACTACAGGAGGCACACGACGGAGTTACCTCAGGACATTTCGGAGTAGAAAAAACACGACAGCAGCTACAGCGATACTACTACTCATCCCTTGATGCTGACCGACGTGCAGGGAAACGTGGCATCGTGTCCCACCTGCTAGCTCATGAAGTCATCGCGACAGCGACCGACATGACAGTTGCAGCCGATACCACCCCCAGAGCGAGCTTGGCAGCAGGTGACGATGGACTTCGTCACGGGGTTACCGGCTGGAGCGAGTGGGAACGACGCGATCCTGGTCGGCGTCGATCGGCTGACGAAGATGGTACATTTCGCGGCCTGCAAGAAATCAATCACAGCCGAAGAAACAGCCCGAATCTTCATCTCCACCGTCGTTCGACTTCACGGGATACCAGGAGCAATTATCAGCGACCGTGACACAAAATTCACCAGCAATTTCTGGCGGAACCTATGGCAGCAGTTCGGCACGCGACTACAGTGCAGTTCATCATACCACCCTGAAACTGACGGTCAAACTGAACGGACAAATCAAACCATGGAGCAGTTAATCCGAGCCACGTGCGACGACCCGGCAACATGGGAACAGCAGCTGCCACTCATCGAGTTCGCATACAACAACTCCACGTTAGCCACGACGCAGCAGTCGCCATTCTACCTCAACTACGGACAGAATCCAACAGTACCCATGACCCAGAATCCCGACAACCCAGTCCCACGAGCTCAACAATTAGCAGAAATTTTACAGGCCGCCCGGACCCGAGCAGCAGACGCTATAAAAAAAAATCAAACATCAACGCTAAGGGCGTGTGTGATTTACTGCCTGTGTTCAAGGCGCGCTACGTGGCTAGGGGTTTCAGTCAGCGTGAGGGAGTTGACTTCTTCCAGACCTTCGCCCCGACCCCGAAGATGACTACTCTTCGGGTGTTACTGCACGTAGCAGCACAGCGAGACTACGAGCTGCACTCCCTTGACTTCTCTACTGCGTTTCTCCAGGGCCGACTACACGAGGAGATCTGGTTGCGCCGCCCTCCTGGCTTCACTGACACCTTCCCACCTGGGACCCAGTGGAGCCTGAGACGGCCAGTCTACGGTCTCCGCAAGTCGCCCCGTGAGTGGCACGACACTCTTCGCTCCACGCTTCGTGACCTTGGGTTTTGTCCTTCCTCTGCCGACCCGTCGCTGTTTGTTCGCACTGGTTCCACTCCTTTCTTTATACTAGTGTACGTCGACGACTTGGTCTTTGCCACAGCAGACAGGGCAGCTCTGGCTCAGGTGAAGTCCGAACTGCAGAAGAGACACACGTGCACTGACCTAGGTGAACTGCAGCGCTACCTTGGCCTGCAGATCACCAGGGACAGAGCCGCTCGCACCATCACACTGACTCAGTCACACATGGTGCAGCAGGTCCTTCAGCGGTTCGACTTCCAGTTCTCCACCACACAGCCCACACCTCTTGCTGTTGACCACAGACTCACTGGCCCCTTTCCCGACGAGCCTTTTGAGTCCAGCAGCTGCTGTGAGGGTGGCGAAGTACCTGGCGACTACATCAGGCATGGGGCTCGTGCTTGGAGGGACTCAGCCAGTGGCGTTGACTGGTCACTGCGACTCTTCCTACGCTGACGACGTGGAGACTCAGCGCTCGACTCAGGGTTACTGCTTCACTCTGGGTGCTGGTGCTGTGTCGTGGAGGTCTACACGGTCGTCGTCTGTGGCTACTTCCAGTGCAGAGGCAGAGATCTACGCTGGTGCCATGGCGGCACAGGAGCTTCGCTGGTTGACCTTCTTGCTCACCGACCTTGGTGAGCGGCCTCGCTCTGCACCGACCTTGTACGCTGACAACAAGGCCATGATCCTCCTCTGTCGAGAGCCTCGACTAGAGAGCAGAGTGAAGCATATTGACGTGAGGTACTTCTTTCTGCGAGAGCTGCAGCGACGCGGCCAGGCACGCCTGGACTTTGTGGCCTCAGAGGCCAACACTGCAGACGTCTTCACCAAGGCCCTGGCGCTTGGTGACCACCACAGGTTCAGTGTGCAGTTGGGGCTTGTTGAGGTAGGCCCTCGGTTGCTGTAGACTTGCTGTTTACTCTGCTTGTTGTGCTTTGCTATATATATCCTAGTGAACTCTTGAACTGGCCTTATGGCCGCTTGCTTGTGCTCGGAATTTGTGTGGTGTCCTTGAGATCCACCCTGAGCTTGCTTTGCTTCTTGCATTGACTGGTCTTGTGACCGTTTGTTCACCCTGCTTGCTTTGATGCCCCTCACTTAGCCTATGGGGGTGTGTCAAATGTTATTATAGGTTCTTAGGCCACAGTGAGTAGCACTCTAGGGAGTACAACACTTTTAGGGTTGCTATTTGTATCCCTTGTTTCCCTAGTTCACACATTCCGTTGTTCGCTAACTTTGTGAGTATGGCATTGGATTATTGTTGGAGACATGCAGCCCAATGTGTAATATTTTTTATAGTAGTGCAATACCCTACCAAGGAGCATAGTATAGAACCTTTCTCTTGTGCCTTGGAGAAAAAATATTGAGCTGGGTTGTCACTCGACGGGTATGTCATGAAATGATGGAATGTGGCGAGTTGAAGCATGAAAACTCATAGTAGTCACTGAAATAGCCAGGGAAAGGGAGAGAAGGTGGAGGAGGCGCAATAAGGGACAGGTCATGGTGCAAGCATAGGCTATAATGGCAAAACATGATGCAGTAGATAGTAAGAGGTGGGAGAGGGAAAGGAGAAGAGGGGGGAGAGAGAAAGGAAGAGATATGATGAGGGGGAGAGGGAAAGGAGGGAAGAGGGGAGAGAGGGAAGAGGGGAAACAGGGAAGAGGGAAAACAGGGAAACAGGGAAGAGGGAAAACAGGGAAGAGGGGAAACAGGGAAACAGGGAAGAGGGGAAACAGGGAAGAGGGGAAACAGGAAAGAGGGGAAACAGGGAAGAGGGAGAAAATGAGAGGGAGAAAAGGGGGGTAATAGAGGGAGATGGGGGGGAAATGAGAGGAGAAGGGGGGGAAATGAGCGGGAGCAGGGGGGGAAATGAGCGGAAGAAGGGGGGGAAATGAGTGGGAGAAGGGGGGGAAATGAGCAGGAGAAGAGGGGGGGTAATGAGAGGGAGAAAAGGGGGGTAATAGAGGGAGATGCGGGGGAAATGAGAGGAGAAGGGGGGGGAATGAGCGGGAGCAGGGGGGGAAATGAGCGGGAGAAGGGGGGGAAATGAGTGGGAGAAGGGGGGGAAATGAGCGGGAGAAGAGGGGGAGTAATGAGAGGGAGAAAAGGGGGGTAATAGAGGGAGATGCGGGGGAAATGAGAGGAGAAGGGGGGGAAATGAGCGGGAGCAGGGGGGGAATTGAGAGGGAGAAGCGGGGGAAATGAGAGGAGAAGGGGGGAAAAGAGAGGAGGGATGAGGCTGGGGAGGAGGGATGGGGCTGGGGAGGAGGGATGGGGCTTGGGAGGAGGGATGGGGCTGGGGAGGAGAGATGAGGCTGGGGAGGAGAGATGAGGGGGGGAATGAGACAGAGGAGGGGGGAATAATGAGGGTGAGAAAGGGGGGGAATGTGTGGAAGCAGGGGGGTATTAGAGAGCGTGCAAGGGGGGGAATGAGATCAAGCACGGGAAGGAGGGAATACAGGTGGGGAAAGGAGGGGATGCAGGGGGAAAAAGGAGGGGGCGCGGGGGGGGGGGAATGAGGGGATGTAGGGTGGGAAAGCATGGGACGCAGGGGAGGAAAGGAGGGAACACAGGGCGGGAAAGAAGTGGAAAGAAGGAGGAGATATGAGAAGGAGGTAGAGGAGGAGGAGGATATTGGACGAGGGGAACACGGAGAGGGAAATGAGGGGGTGCGGAAAATGGAGAGAGGGATTCAGGCGGATAGGGAAGATGGGAGAGGGACTGCCCGATTCTCAACGAACGAAATGGCTGGTGAGGACAGTTTCGTGGGAGGCGCGCAGCGTGTGTGGCGCCTTGCGCGTGTGACGAGTTTGGGGACATTCGAGTCATTCTCCCCTGCGAGCAGCAGGTGACGCACTAAGCGTGTGAGGCGAGCAGCGGGTTAGGCTCGCCGGCGAGGTCAACGCATGAAACGCGGCTTGGCCGCCGAAGGCAACGCGACGGGGCAGGAAGGTGGGGAGTCGGTTGACTCACCGAATGCCGTATGGCTCTCGAGGGCAACGATTTTCCCGGGGCGCGCAAACCTAATGCAACTCGTTGAGGCGCCCCTCGTGGGGATTCGTCAGGCCTGCCGTATGCAACACGACACGCTCGACGAACGAATCGCGGTGGACCGTCTGGATGCTTAGCGGCGCTGCAGCTAACGGACGATTTTGTGCTCGATTGATTGGCCTTTTCGTGGCTCAGGCATAAAATCCACGTCAGTAAATACTCGACAATGTCTATTTACGCCTTGGCGCTGTTCCGATTGATGTCGTCGCCTCACAGCTAGTTCTAAAAGGGCTTACATAGTTTTAGTCGCTTTTTTATTCATGTAAGTGAGTGTCACTCCGTGATCAGGTGACGAGAGCGTTTTTACTGTCACAGCACAACCCTTCCCCCCCCCAACCCTGGCGTACTGTTGGAAGTTCGCCTCCAAGCACCTTGGAAGTGTTTTTTTCGCCACGGCCTCTCGCCAAGCTCTTTTGTTTTCGTCCAAGCGATTTCGATATGCACACTGTAGCTCAGCGCAACAGTGCTGCCAAATGTATACTGCTGCTTTAAGTTTTGTTTTTACCCTGTTTCCATCAGTGTACGAGATTTTTGGGTTGCGTAGCAACCTTATACATTCGTTTTCACTTTTCGGTTGACTGACGTGAACTGTGTATTTTTCCAAAAAATATATATATGAAAAAATCACTGTTCACATTAGTTACCCTGAAAATGGAAACAAATGTGTCCAATCATTCCATCATCGTCGATAAGTACGGCGAATGGAACAATTGGACAATCACTCACTAGGCACTAATAACAGAATGATTAGAACGCGTAGGCAAACTTGCTCGTACCAAGTAGAACAAAAAAAAACAAACGAACAAACAAACAATATGTGAATCTTTTTAAATGAATACTAAATGCATTCATGTTGCAACATGGATTGATATGGTACGGAAGAGGCGAGTGAAACTGCCCAGCGACGATCACAACCCACGTTGCATACACAAGGCACTTAGCACACACCCCAAAACAGACACAAACGACAGCACACTAACTTGTACAGAGACAAGGGACAATAGTTGTGAATGCTTCGAAGCTAATGCATCGTGGATACAACTGCGATTGATCTGGTATGGAAGAGGCAAGCAAAGCTGCCCCACCAACGATCCCACCCCAATTGCATAAACGAGGCACTTGGCACTCACCCCGAAGCACACACAAACAACACTACAGTCATGTACGCACATTCACATACACGCTCACACATACGCTGACAGGAAAAACAAAAAATAACGCAGAAACATACATATACTAAGCATGCAAGCATAGCCAATGAAGTTCACCAATTAATAAACCATCGTTACCTTGTCCCCCATTCCCCTCCCTTTCCCCCTCCCTGGTCTCCCTTCCCCCCTTCCCCCCCTTCCCCCCCTCCCTTTCTTTCTCCACAAGAAACAATGATTGCAGCTTGAAATTCCTGCACAGGAAAGGAAAAAATAGCAAATGCAGCTCTCACTCCCTGCACACAGTGACACACGAGCAAACGAGCTCAAAGCCAAAAGAGAGAAGCCAACACACACACGTCCTGCACAAAGCCAAAAGAGAGAAGCCAACACACACACGCCCTGCACAAAGCCAAAAGAGAAGCCAACACACACACGCCCTGCACAAAGCCAAAAGAGAGAAGCCAACACACAGACAGGCCCTGCACACAGCAAAATCAGGGACGTCAACACACACACGCCCTGCACACAACAAAATCAGGGACGTCAACACACACACGCCCTGCACACAGCAAAATCAGAGACACCAACACACACACGCCCTGCACACACCAAAATCAGGGACGTCAACACATACACGCCCTGCACACAGCAAAACAGAGAAGCCAACACCTTAGAAGACGACACCCTAAGCACTAGTGCAAAAAGCGACAACCATTTGCATGAGTAGCCCCAGTTGCCCAAGCACCAGCAGAATAGATGCTAGTGCATATGCCCCAGCGTGCTCATGAGGCTCACTCACGCGCTCTTTCACACGCTCTCTCATGCGCCCTCTCATGCTCTCTCTCACGTGCTTCCTTACTCGCTCTCTCTCTCGCGCTCACGCGCTCTCTCACGCGCTCACACAAGCGCCCTCTCACGCGCTCTCTCACGCGCACTCTCACGCGCTCTCTCACGCGCTCTCTCACGCGCACTCTCACGCGTCCTCTCACGCGCTCCCTCACGCGCTCCCTCACGCGCTCTCTCTCGCGCCACGCTCTCTCTCACACCCTCTCTCACGCGCACCCTCACGCGCTCTCTCACGCGCTCTCTCATGCGCCCAATCATGCTCTCTCTCACGCGCTCCCTCACGCGCTCACTCACGTGCTCTCTCACGCGCTCTCTCACGCGCACTCTCACGCGCACTCTCACGCGCACTCTCAATGCACTCTCACGCGCACTCTCAAGCGCACCCTCACACGCTCTCTCACGCGCTCTCTCACGCGCACCCTCACGCGCTCTCTCACGCGCTCTCTCACGCGCACGCGGACTCTCACGTGCTCTCTCACGCGCACTCTCACAAGCACTCTCACGCGCACTCTCACGCGCTCTCTCACGCGCTCTCTCACGCGCTTTCTCACGCGCACTCTCACGCGTCCTCTCACGCGCTCCCTCACGCGCTCCCTCACGCGCTCTCTCGCGCACTCTCATGCACACTCTCAATGCACTCTCACGCGCACTCTCAAGCGCACCCTCACGCGCTCTCTCACGCGCTCTCTCACGCACACCCTCACGCGCTCTCTCAAGCGCACCCTCACGCGCACTCTCACGAGCACTCTCACGCGCACGCGGACTCTCACGCGCTCTCTCACGCGCACTCTCACGAGCACTCTCTCGCGCACTCTCACGCGCACTCTCACGCGCACTCTCACGAGCACCCTCACGCGCACTCTCACGTGCACTCTCACGAACACTCTCATGCGCACTTTCCTGCGCGTTCGCTCCCGCGCACACGCTCTCCCTCGCGCTCTGTCTCTCCCCTTCTTCAATGAAATTGCAATGCAAGAGGAGACCAATTGACAGACAAAATGTACGCAGAGAGCAAAAAAAAAAAGGGGGGGGGGGGGGGGGGGATATCTCAGAAGGGAAAGGGAGGATGAAAGGACCGGGAACGCACCTGATAATCACGGTGCCTCAGAAAGCAACTCGCGCTCGCGCACTGACCTGTTAGAAACTAGAAGTGAACGAGAATGTGTGAAACTAGGCAGCAGGGTGATACAAGTAGGAAACCCTAGCAATGTTGTACCCCCTAAGGCTAAACCCACTATAGCCTACACAATAGGAACATGTATAATGTTTGACACACCCCCATAGGCTAAGTGGGAGACAACCAGATGGTCACAAGACCAATCAAAGCAAAGCAAAGCAAAGCAAGCTCAGGGTGGATCTCAAGGAAACCACACAAATTCCGAGCACAAGCAAGCGGTCACAAGACCAGTTCACATGCAGTTTGATAATATAACAAGAGGTACAGTGATCACAACCTAGCAAGTGTAAGCATGCAGGTATATATATATATATAGAGATCACAGTACAAGCAGAGTCAAGAAGTAAGCAAGTGAGGCACAGTAGGCACAAGGCCTAGAACAGTACATAAACGCTGATGGTCACAAGGCTGAAGCGCCTTGGTGAACACATCAGCAGTGTTGGCCCGAGTGGCCACGTAAGCAAGACGAAGCTGACCACGCTGCTGCAGCTCTCGAGCAAGGAAGTAGCGCAGAGCGATGTGCTTCGTTCTGTGCTCCAGTCTGTGCTCCTGACACAAGGCAATGGTGGCCTTGTTGTCGACGTACAGCACTGGAGGAGAACGAGGCCGCTCTCCCAGGTCGGCCAGCAGGTAGGTGAGCCAGCGTAACTGCTGTGCAGCCATGGCTGTGGCGTAGATCTCAGCCTCACAACTGGAGCTGAGAACTGACGACGAGCGTGTAGAACGCCAAGAAACTGAACCAGAGCCAAGGCTGAAGGTGTAACCCTGAGACGACCGCTGCGTAGCCTGGTCGTCAGCCCAAGAAGCGTCTGAGTGTCCACTGAGGACAACGTCGCTCCGTCCTCCAAGCACAAGCCCCATGCCCGACGTACTGCACAAGTAGTGCAACACCCTCTTAGCGGCATCCATGTGCTCCTTCCGGTGACGGCCAGGAGCGACATAGCGTGCTAGGATGCTAAGAGGGTATGCAAGGTCAGGTCGAGTGCAGGTCATCAGGTACATGAGGCAGCCCACAAGCTCTGGATACGGGCCACTCGGCTCTACGGACTCATCCGAAGGCAGAGCTGAGAGCGAGTGACCGGTAGGCAGAGGAGTGGGCTGAGGCGAGGAGTACGTGAAGCGGAAGCGCTGAAGGACCTGCTGCACCATGTGTGACTGAGTCAAGGTGATGGTGCGCTGTGCTCTGTCCCGGGTGATCCGCAAGCCAAGATAGCTTGTCAGCTCACCCAGGTCTGTGCACGTGTGTCTCTTCTGCAGCTCCGACTTCACGTGGGCGAGTGCCTCAGTGTCAGCAGTAGCAAAGACCAAGTCGTCTAC